CGAATGCTAAAAATTAATTATTTAAAAATATCTGAAGTGGACGTTGGTGCCTTGGGCTGCAGGTAGATCTATGCAACTGGGCCTGAACTTATTTTCTTTTATTACAAAAAATGCCCCAAAATTACCATCCACTGTTTAGTTAAAGACGAAGGGTTAATTGTTTGTCCAAAGGCAGAGGCGAAGCGTGGTTGTCCCTGTCCTTCCGGTTCCACTTTCAAAGGAAGAGTTTACAAACCGAGGAGAAGTCGTCTGCGGTCCATCGGCTCGTTCTTCTCGGCCGATGTACCAATTTCTTTCATCCTCTGTCTTCCACCCTCAGGACACGATCTCGTTTTATCTCCACGACCCCTTACACGATCCGCGTTTGTTACGGAGCCCCAACCCCGACCACCATGCTCGCCGCTATCAACCACTACCCCATCTTTTTTCTTCCCCTTTCTTCTTCTTCGCCTCCCTTGCGGCTTGTTCGAAGGGTGGCTAGCCTCGAGCGGACCAGAGCCTGATAGAGCACGCGAGTTCAAGGGGATAGTCGCGCACTGCATCTGCTCTAAGTGGATTCCGTCTTTAGGGCTAACGATCTCGTGCTACGCCGATGGAACACCGCTGTTCCGGCAAGTTTCGATGGAAACGTCAGACACACGACTAGCCAGGAAGTATTAAAGGATACCTGTCGTATGTACGCCGGAGGAAATTGCGGATGGGGGTTGGGGAATAACTGGAATGTTGTTTATGGGGTACACTGACGAAGTGGAAATTCAAGTTTGCAGTGTCTGATGGATACTGATGGGTCGTCAATTTCTCAATTTGATATTTCTAAATTTCCCAATTTCCAAGCTTCTAAGTTTTCCAATTTCCCAATTATGAGATTTGAAGGTCGCACCTACCGTGCAAGTCAATGCCCGTGGGCACCTCAGCAAGCACTTGATTTGCCCACTACTGCCCTAGCGAATTAAGTTTGCAATGGTATATCTGCAACATCCGACCCGAATAATAAAAATGTCCGTACATGTATCTTGACAGAGCAAACTCTTCTTCGTGTCTCTCTATTTTATTCTCCCGCCAGAGTTTGTCCCCGGTGATGGCGATACAACGTCACCCCAAAGCTGGACATAAGAGTTATACACAAGGTATTAGTGCGGAAACAGATGTAGGTGTGAAACAACGCAGCCTAGGACTCACCCTTCCTGTGGACTGACAATTTGTCACATTCGCGACCACCCCCTTTTCCTTCTCGAGTACGCAACACATCGATAAGCCTACGCTTGATAAATCGTGCGATACATGACCGTCATTATCGGATCCTAGCCCCCTACTTTCGTGCCATCCTTATCGCTGGAATAGGATAATAGACACGCGTCCGATGCGATCGTTCTCTAATAAAGAGCCACATTCAAATATGAAGTGGAGCGATATCGGTATGAGTTATAGTATTGAGCCGAGTCCAAAATTTGACAAATAACAATTAAATTAACCCCACTAGAATTTGCAAAATTAACCAATAAATAAATCAAAGAATTAAAAAAAGATGTTAGTAATAATAATAATTACTGTGTTTGACAAATCGATGAAGTGTTCAAAGAAACAAGCCAATTAAATTAATTCAATTAGTCATTAGCCTGATTAAAACCAGGAGTCTTTCGGTTCATCGAGGGCTTTATGAATTGGGAATGAACGTGGAAGGTCCTTTTCGTGAATTTAAGGTGCGGTTCGTTTGTATTACAGCTTGTGTAATGAAAAGTGCTATATTGAATGATGAAACGGATGACTGAGCTTCGCGGAACAGAGGTTAAAAGCTATTTACGTTAAAAGCAAATGTGAATGGAGGTCTTTCAGTATTCAAACCTAACCTCAAAGAAGGTGAATGGTAAAATTTAATGATATTTATTGCAATAAACAAATTAAGCCAAATTGAATATCACAGCATTTCATTTCTCGATGGTTCTATTTTGAGGTTATGTTTCCCCCATTACTTATCTAAAATTCAATCAAGATAGCATATCAATATTTAACAGATAGCATCTAATTTTCTAAATTTAATAAAATTGTATACAGCATTTAATTTTCCAAAAATACCATTTTGAGGTTATGTTCGAATTCCAGACGCCTCGATGCTTTTTCGAAATTATAATATTCGTCAATGAATATGGCATACCAGGGAAACGCGTCTGAAAGACAAACGAGGCAGCAAATCGGATTCACGGGATGCCGGACATTCGAAAGGAACCGTAGGGGTGATGGTCCTACACCGAGGTGAATTAGGTTGTAGCGCGTGGTCGTTGCCCTTATACGATTCAAGGCACCCTTCGAGATTGGCCAGGCACGATTAATTGACAGTAGGCCTTTCGAGACCTTCTTGACAAGATTCGAAGCGACAGCCAGGCATTCCAGGAGGGTGCGAAGAAAGCCATAAGGATGTAAGGCTGTCGGTGTTTCGTGATTGAGTTACGCGTTTTAACTTGTTGATCTCCTGATTCCTGTCTCCTTTGATCGTCCGTTAGCTTTAATTAGCAAGTTTCTCAGCCGCAATGTGTAACAGGGACGTACCAACGAAGAATCCCAAAATTGTCATCAATACGACAAAATATTATCGAATGGAATAATGCTTACTTGAAAATTTTTATTCTGCCTCGATATCTTGATGTATAGTCTTGCTATAAATATAGTCCTGTGTATAGTCTTTTTAAAAGACGATTCTGGATACGGTATTTTTGAATAGGTTATGGTGAATTGACCTCTTCAAGTGTTCAATTATTTCTCCACCTCTATCAATTTTCTCTGTCCGCCAACAATTCAAAAGCATTTATTCGATATTTTATCGTGGACACATCGATTCTCGAGAAGCATGTCGGAGGGAAATAGGGGTTAGGTTCTGATAATGGTGGTCGCCTATCGTGCGATTTGTCACACGTACGTCTTTCGATGTGCCCTCTACACTAGAAAAGGAAAGAGGGTTGGTAAAGATGAAAGAAGCGCTGCAAATATGACAAATCGTCGACATGTTGTACAGTAGCGAGCATAGTAGACTTTTTTAGGGAAAATGGCCACCACTAGTAATATTTAAATTACCAACTTCCAAATTACTAACCTTTAATGACATAAAAAGTGACCATCGATGTTTTTAATTAAGAACGAATAACCTTGATGTGCTTCTATGTTTAATGACTGTAAGGTGTAACCAATACACATAAGAATATGACCGGAACGAAAGGGAGATGTTGATGGTGGCAAAAGAAACATTGATTGAACATAGGGGATAGCAGGTTGGCATTGTCGAGGACCGATGAGGCGAATAATCGGATCTAGGGATTACCAGCGCGTTTCGTGTTACCCGCAATACCGTTACTCTGGCCTTGTCATCGTTTTCAGCAATCATTAATGCGATTATCCAGACTGTTTTGATAACCCTTGACACTTTGGTGCGATATCATCTATAAAATTAATGGTGACTGCAATAAGTCATTTTTATTAATTATGCGAGACATGCGGGACTGGATCAAGCAAATTATGTTTGATAATATATTCACCTTTTTTGTTATCAGGTCATGGACGTAAAATTTTAAATAACCATATAAGAAACTTGCTATTCATTTATTATAAGAAGTATTCGAAAATGCATTTCAAATTTCGCGCGCTTTCCTTGCTTTCAGTCGAGTGAACCCCTTAGCCAAGCAACCAATCAGAGAGTTGAAATTTTACTTATGGAAGATGGCGGCTTCCCACGTATTTACACTTTATATCTTGCTATTGGTATAAAAACAAAACGGATAAATATAATAAGGTACTGAAAATGAAAAATGTCATTGATAAATTATATTTTTATCCTGGGTTTCATATTTTTAGCTGATGGTGTATCTAACCAATTCATTGAAATCGTCGGGGAGTTCGTTGAAATCTCCGCGAACGTTGGCGCGATGCCTTCACTGTTCCTGAAGAGAATCAATACGGACGTCACGCACAACCAAACCCGTTCGATAAACTGAAAAATTCTTCTGCTAATATTTATTACCACCAAATTTCAAGATAAAAGATAAGGTGACAAAATGGTTACTAAAAGTAAGGTTAGGTTACGATCTGAAATTCTTGGATGGTATAGAATGATGAAACGTTTCAGAAGCCACTTCAGTTACCTGACAACTATGCATAACTAAGGTCGTAGATCTACGGTTCGTCGCACAGGGCGTAGATCTACGATATTCGATCACAACGCGTTAAATTTACCTCAATGGAAACGTTCACGTCAGGTGAATGCTTAAGAGTCAGCCAGAAATTTCGTTTGTTCCACGAAATTCAACTTAAATCTCGGTCGCAAAGTACCGGGTAAAAATAGGGACAGATCAATATTCGTGTCTTAAACGTGTACGCGAATAATGTAGGGCAGCATGCAACCATAACTCAAACAATAGCCTGCTTCTGGGTGAACGGGTCCGTTCAGACCCTCACGCGCCTTTACCTCCATACAATATCGACGCGTTGAATACTGTGGGGGGTCAGTGATGACCGGCGTCACAAATAATTAATAGAAAATTATTATTTTGAATGGGGAACAGAGAGGTTAGAATTGAAGGTAATAGATTGACAGGTGAGAATGATCGATATCATGGACATTATTCAAATTTAATTACCAGTTAGATCGATATCTGGAATAGTAAACGAGCAGTGGTAACGTACTGGGGAGTTTCCAGGACATCGCAGGGTAGCCCGCCACCCCTTCGATGCTTCTCCAACCCCAACAATGTCTCTACCCTCTCAGACTCACCCTAATATAAATATTATTACACTTTGATGGGGTTAGGTTGACACTGGACCCCGCAGACATCCCATAGATGCGTTCTCCTCCCTTCCACTACCCACGTTTGCATTATACTTGCTTTTTCATTAGGCCCTACCTGAAAGGTAGGAAATACCCCCTATACCCCGAATGACCCAGCATCATAGGATAACTTTAGGCTCAATGAGTTCTGGTATGTTAAATGTTAAATAGAATACAACTCGTGATATCCTTCGGTAACAATGACATCTTTAATAACCGGTTCAACAACATTACAGTATTGTAGGTTTTAAGTACATACGCAGTTCGGTACTTGATTTCATTAAATATACATACATACATGCGTGTTCTGCTGTGTATGCCATCGTCAAGTATAGAGTACACAAGTATTTGTCAGTGATTTCGTGTATATGCACGCCATAAGTGCTAGTGTGTTACTTTTTTTTATCTTTCTTTATAATTTCAATGCAGTCACGAAGATAGCAATTTCAAGGATTCTTTGTATCAGATCCGACGCAAGGATAATAATACTGCACTCTTTGTGGTTACATTTTGAGCAAAAACAGCGGTTCAGCGTTAAATTGAAAATAAAATTGCAATGGAGTGGATAGTTTTGAGTCTGGGTAAAAGCAGAAGAGCCAGGGTTCTTGATATAGTTTTCCAAAGCGTTTCGTTTTTGATACAAATACTCCCTCCTGATGTGTAAATTTTCAATTTAATAAATTCCTGATGATCATACAAAAAAAAAGGGTACTGAAAACACGATATTCAGACAAAAATATGGCAAAGTATTATTAGGTGTATGCAGAAGTCCTAATGTTTCTAACGCGTAATCAAAATTCCCGCCTTTTTGCGCTTAAAGAGGTTAGGAACCATATATTAGAAATTAAGGATAAATACTTTAATTTATACTTTATTACGTAAAAATAAGAAGAAAGTAATTAATTTGTCCTCAGTTTATAACAAAAAAAAGAATAACGTAAAGTTAGGTTTATAGGTTAGAAAACTAACCTAAACTTTAGCATACTCCTAACGAAACCTCCATTGTTATTCCACGAAAGATTTTCTCAAATTTCGTCGCGAATATTATTTTTATTCATCTTTCTCTCGGCCTCCTTTTTTCTACGTGCGTGTTTATATCTAAATCGCACCACACACAAACGGTATAATACATATAGATATGATGTATGTATACGCAGGTCCCTCGTATGGAAAACGAAGAGATCACTGTTCATTTTCTTCTTTTTTTGTAACTCGCGCAAATATAACGTATTTACAAGAGACAAAAGAAGCTACGAGTGTACGTGATAATACGTATACGTGGGTATATATATATATTTATATATGTATATGTATATTTGTGATATAATTTGCGATATAGGTACATACAACGCCTTGCACAATAGTTATCTTCCATTTTCAACGATACAAAATAGGTGGATACATTGTGACCAAAGAAATCAAAAGGTCCTTTACCATTTTGCAAAATGTTACTTCGTATTTTAAATATAAGCTATTAAATATTGGATGTTTAATTGTTGGACGCCATCTTATTGGATCAACTGATCCCATGTTAAACAATTTCTTATGGAAAGGAAAATAAAACATTTAAAAAAATTAATTATCTCGTGATCAGCTGTCCAAATAAACTATTCTTTCGAGATAACTATCGGCAAAAGGCACGTTGAAATTCGATCAACCATTAACGAGCTAAGATCGTTATTAATAGAGGCCAGCTCATAGATCATACGCGTATATAACCATCTTATTCGCTGCAAAGAAACGAAAAAACTGCGTTCGCCTACTTTGTATATAAATATGCCTAAAGTACAATCCCGAGCCGAGTAGGGTTCCCTAGGGAAGATGGTGACATAAGGACAGAAAGTTCCACCATTTGCCATAACACTCAAGAATTAGAACGCTAGAAACTCGACAAGCAATAAAATTTTCTAAAGTACACGTTTGCTTGCGAATGCAACCTCTTTCTACATCGCCATTTTCCCTAGGGAAACCTCCATGCTCGGTACTGTACGTACCTAACGACTGTATTACAGGGAAGGGGTACAAACTTGAAGAGTTCAGGCACTGTAAACTCAAAGCACTCGCGATGATTTCGAAGGACAAGAGTAGAGTCCAGAATTTGTTAATCCTCGATGTTTCATTGTAAATTGCTTGGTTGTTAAAGTACGCCTTTAAGACTGTAGATTATTCATGAAATAACTAACTGAAAGTTCCTTTACCATTTTGTGATCTGTAGCTTCGTTTTAAAGATATAAGCGATTAAATTATGATGCGCGCGCAGGTGCCTGCGATCACGTGATCAGCTGTTCGCCCAACCAGCGAGATCTAAGCATGATACCTCAATGGCGGAACTTCTAATCTTTGATCGCTTATATCTCCGAAACAAAGTCACGGATGAAAAAATGGTAAAGGACTTTTCGATTTCTTTTGAGGCGTACAATCTTTCCTATATATTTTAGAACCTTCCACTGTATTTTTTTCTTCTTAACCTTTATCTCCGGCACAATACAATGTCAACATCGTGGACATTTTCAGGCCTCCTGAGCTCCTCTCAATTGACCCGAAATTTTTCAATCGCGCACACCTTTCCAGCAACGTTTTTAAACGAGTTTATATTCCCACGAAACACGACGAAGACGTGGATCAATTTTTGTTCAAAGGAAATGAAAACTTGACAATTGAGTACGCTACCTTTCGTTGAACAGTGTTTCCTTGCAGAACAGCTTCAGAATAATTCGTGAAGCTTTCAGTTGCGAGTCGCTGGCACATGATAATAGTTTCGTATGCGTATAGATATGTACATACATATAGAAATATACATGTCCTATGTATTTATTTAAATATTGCACGATTTTCTTCGCGAACCAAAGAAACGAGACTTTTTCTGGCTACATAGAAAACTAGGTTCATAAAAATACAGATATGTAGGGCTCAACGTACTTATCTAGTTATAAGGGTACGATTTAGTATTGCCTCATCGTGGATGGACGAGTTACTAAACAGGTGGTTAGGGAATTCGCGACTAAACGGTGAATTATAAATATCAAACTGTATAAAATTCGAATTCAAACGGTATAACGTAATTGATACAACTTAACCTCTCATATACAGGTTGTTCCATAATGAAGTGTCATTAATTTAACCAAAGGTGATTAGAACTTTGGTTAACTAATTGCATTTCATTGAACATTTACTATGGATGACTAATGAAAAAATTAATGCTCAATCTATCAACAACGGTAGATGAAATTAATTAACAATGATATGTTTACTCGTTAATAGTCACGGCTGAAAGAAAAGGTTCGTTGCCGTACACATTTTTTTCTATACAATTATTATCTATACGAAAGCCTCAACAGCTATATAACTCGACGCCTTAATTAATGATATGGTACTTCGGTTCAGCAATGGAATGCAAACGAAACGGATAAAAACGAAAGATTTTGCCGATGATTTTGGCAATTCGCGAGCAAAGGTCTTTGCTGAGGAGAAGCCTTCGTCGCGATTAGGTTATTTTTCCTTCTACTTTCATCCACCAGATGGCGAAAGAAACTTTCACGTTCTCTCCCTTCTTGGATCACTGTATCTCTCTTCGACGATCTTTCTTCCGTCGTGAACGACGATTATCGTTAGAAGTTTCTTGTCGCGGACGCGTTCCTCGCCGTTTGCACGAAAAATGACATGGAAAATTTGCTTCAAGTAATTAATACACTAAAATACAGACACTCTAAGCACAAACTGAGAAGATTATAAATCCAAAAGATCGGCATTGCAAATAAGGTTACTTCACAATTGAGAAACACAAATTCTCAAAGAAAAACGAACTGAGAGCACTAATTTCATCAGATTCCTGGACGCTGGCCCTCTGAAAGAAGGCAGCGCGAACATAACCTTGAAAAACACGGTCACTTCACGGGAAACGAAAGGCAAACGTTGATCACCAGAGGTACAGCGTGCAACAGAAATAATCCTGATAAGTGGAAGCCTAGCTCGAAGACTGTTTCGTGATATTCGTGTGTCCTGTTTGATTCCTGAACCGACACGAATACCCGGTGTGCACAGTTTCAGATGGCGCGTTAGTACATTCCTTGTCTAAAGGGATTACTATCACCGGCTGGTTGCTGCTGATCGGCGGTAGGTCTTCTGAACGGATTCACGTCCATCTGACCTGCCGTCTGCGGCTCCTGTCCGTAGCTTGCCCTCTGCTGACCGTAGCCCGTCGACTGTTGACTGTAGTTGGTTTGCTGATCGTACATGGGCGGCTGCTCGTACCCGGCGGGGGCTTGACTGTATCCGGAGGCATTAATATTCTGCCCGTATCCACTCTGATCGTAACCTTGCCCGCCTTGATAATTCTGATCGTAACCTTGATCGAGGCTCGTCTCCATACGGGTTTGATTCAGGTGGTTGCCCACCTCCCCCGAGAGCGGCCTCTGCTCCTGCAGCACGTACGTCTGGTACTCCTTGTCGGGCGGGTCCTGCATTAGGACGTCCGCTTCGTCTTGGAACGGCTTGAAATCGTAGATGTGTCTCAGGTACATGAGCACAGGCGCATAAAGTAGATTGGAGAAGGCTATGCCAACGTTCAGAGCGGTGAAGCCGATGGCCTCCACCACGCCGCCGGCTATTATCGGGCCTACCGCGTATGCCACGCTGTACGAGATGTCAGCTATGGCGTAGATGCTACCGTAGACGGAGACGTATCTCACGTCCACGAGGTAGCCCAATGTTGGCAGCAGAGCGGTGTCGATGAGCGCCATGCCGAAGCAGATACCGCACAAGGGGATCATGAGAACCTTGTAGCCGGTACAGAAGGGTATTATGAAGCAACAAAAGCCTTCCAACGCGAGACCGGAGGCAGCTATCAGCCACTGGTGCTGAGGGTACTGTTTGGCCATCTTGACGGTGATTATGACGCCGAACACGTGCGGGAAGAACGCAGGTAGCCAAATCATCCCCATCTTCCAATTGTCGTGAGTGATGTTGTCCTCCATCCATATCGAGATCGTGGGTTCCAGAAAGGCCAGCGCGACGTTCGACATCATCAAAGCCCCGGCGCACACGGCGATGTAAGGATCCATGAGCAGCCGCCAGATGGGTATAGTAGGCGGCCGTGGCTGTTGACTCTCCTTCATTTGTTCCTTCAGCGGCTTCATCACCAACAGTAGCATAAATCCATCGGCCAAGCTGATGAAAGCGAGTATCAGGAAGGGCACCTCCTTGCCCGCGAACTGATACAGCGCTCCGCCAAATGGCGGTGCCACGAGGCAGCCGAAACTGATGAAGGCCAGCGCGATACCGAGGGCTTTCGAGCGTTCTCCCTCTTCCGTGTAACGATTGGCGATCATGGCCAGACCGCTGGTGTCCGCGAATGCGGAACCGACTCCTTGAAGACTCCGGGCGAAGAACAACACGCCGTAACTTCTGCCACAGGCGAAGACAGCGGTCGACAGGAACATTATGCATAGCCCTATCATCATGGGTATGTCGTAACCGATTCTGTCGATCAGGGCGCCCGAAAATGGATTGACCATCAGCTGAACGATCGCTTTCGATGCGAACAGCACTCCCGTGGCTGAATCTTGACCATGATGACCAGGCGCGACCGTGGCGTTCAGGTCTTCCCTCTCGTCATCGTCGAACGCACCGATGTACCTCAGGTAGTCGGGTATGATCGGCACGATCACCATGTACAACATGTTATCTAGCAGCAGCGCTATCGAGACAATGGCTAGGACTAGCTTGCGTTGAGCTTTCGGCTCCTGCACTTTTGTCCAGACGAGCTCCTTGAGCTCGTTCAGGTCGATCTTGAATATCGGCGGTATGCTCGTCATGGTGGTCGCTTTAGATGATCACTCGGGTTTACGATAGAACAGGATCCTCTTCCAGGATCTAATGCGATAAACTAAACGCGATCACTTCGTGCGACCTTGGGTGCGACCGTGACGAAGAGATCGTCGCGATTTGGGCGGCGCGCATCAGGCCAGGCCGGGTATAACCTACAACAGATCACCGAGTTGGCACGGTTAGCTCCCGAAACCCTGACACGATTTTTGTATTTTTCAATTCCCTTTCATCGCTAAGCTGCTACCTCAGATATTTATTGTTTTTAAACAACGGGCCAATGAAGAATTTGAAAGGGGAGCCCTGACCCGGCCTGATCGGCGCTTACCCGTTCATCCCACCCCGACGCGACGCGACGCAACGTTCCATCGCGTCCGCATCTTCTGGACGAGTTCATCCTTGTCCGATGAGAACTTTTCACTTCCGTAAACGGCAATACAAACACAGCATGTAGTCGATTCCTCGGTTGTTTCTAGCGGGTATAGAAGTGAACATGACACCGGGTGGAGGCTCCCCCTCGATAAGGCGGCACGATCTGTACCCTAGCTACCTATGTCTGGCTGGTTGCGTATCGTGTTACGAGAGATAAAAACACCGAGTCTCGTCGGCGAAACGAGGGTGAAGGTCGTGTTATGGATGGTGTACGGCTTTACTACTATAAACTGGTCTCCTGCTAATTATTTAACGAATCCAACTTCGAGTGAACCGGTTCTCGAGCAACCGTCTTGTCCTCAATCCTAACAAATATCGTGCTGTCCCGTCTGTCGGATTAATTATTTCCATGAAACGATCGTTGGTAAACTGTGACGTTCGTACACGCGTACGCGTCGGCACCCTCGTTTATTAATTACGATGACTGGTCGGCGTGCAGGGAACCGTAACTTTGTCAACGATCGTAACGAACCTCTATAGGAGGCGCGGCTAGGTTCCAGGACGAGGGGAACGCCACGGAGCGAAGCAGGGAATTCGTTAACTTACCAGAGTTATTGGCGAATTTCTGCCTGAGGGAATTGGCGAGGCGTTGGGGACCCGCCAAATTCGGAAGTCCGGCAAACAGATTACTCAGTGTCGACGACACGTCCGTTCTCTCCTGGTCCTTTGAGTCGTTCAACGACTCCTTAACCTCTTGCGTCCCTGGGCCCTCCACCTTTTCGGCCGAATTCGTAACCGAGCCTGTAACACCAGAAACACCGTAGGTATGCGATCAGAAAGTTGCCCAACTATAGCAAAGTTTCATCTTCTGGAATCGACATGATTCCTTTGAACCAGCATCATTATCTTATATGCGCGAGTTACCACTGTACTATCTATGTTTAGGTTTTCTACATCTATCTATAACACGTTTCAGACTGTATATTATACATATGCGTGACTTCCCAAGGTAATTTCCCATTTTTTACCGGGCTGCATGGCTATTCCTAACCTATCATTTACTTTATACAACGCGATCCTCCGTTATTCCACGAAAATAGTTCTACCTTTCCATCATCGCACTCGTACACTCTTTGGGATTATGCAACCACCTCGACCGTGTGAATAATATAAAAAAATAGCGAATTTTTCTTTCAAAAATCAATAGATATCTCTCCTAGCCCAGTGATCTCAACAGTTCTGACCAGGAATTGATCATTTTTCTTACATAAAATTATGATCCAACGTACAAGGAAGTGTTTCAAAAGGGATTCTAAGATATTTCGAAGATGTTGAAATAGTGACAAAAAAAGGGAATTCAAAGAGGTCGTTGAAGTTACTTACTGAGACCGAAGGGCTCCCGATGGCAGGGGTGTCTCGGCGTGTCTCTCCGTTGGGGTGGCTTTGGTACGTCTGCCCTCGAAGTCCTCCCCGCCACCGTGTTGTACAGCACCCTCTTCCCGTCCCCATGATCCCCGCAGCCGAGGAGGAAATTGTGACAGGGCGCAGCCGCGGTTTCCAGGATCCAGGGATTGGCCACGGCACCGTTCGCTGTGCGTCAGCCCCCAAACCCTCTACCGTAGCATACAAACTATCCGCATATCTCCCCGCTAACCGCGGCTCGCACCTTTGGCCGTTCCGGAGGGTTCAGGGGTGGCACGGCCCCGGGGTAAGAGGAAGAACACCAGGTATAACGACAACGGTCGATGCTGCGCGGTATTTCTGGCGGCAGGTCGATATGAGCTTCACCTGTACGACTCTGGCCTGCTGGTTACGTCGAGGAAAAAGGGTTGTCGGACGTGGTGTACATCGTCACAGCCTCGTCGGATAGTACTCTTCGACGCTTCTACTCGAAGGGGGATTCTCTTCTAATAGGTCTAAATACCAGTGATCTTCAGAATTTCATTTTTTTTAGGGAAATATTAATTGTAATAAAAATTTTTCTTATTGTTTATTAGATTGGTGCTGTAATGATGGCGTAGCCATTGTTAGGGTGGATCATTTTATAGGTTAGGTTAGAGTTTCTGATGAATCTACCACTGTTTTCTTTGATCTACCTTTTGGAAATATCACTTGCTTAAATAATTAATAAATTATTCCACAATTTATTAAACAAATGTCACCTATAATACTAAAATTCTTATGATCTTATATAAAAAATGAACATAACCTCAAGCTTTTTTTCTTGAAAAGAGTTTTATATATATCTACAATTATTATTTTCGTTTGTACTACCAAGAATGATTGAAAAATAATGACGAATATTTGGTATAAATAAATAATTTTGATATTTCTGGTTGGCTAGAGTGCCCAGCAAGCAGTGTATCGATGAAATTCGGTCAAGTGATTTTATATCTCGACTCAGGAATATATAGAAAGATTTCGATGAATCGATTTACTTCTGGAAACTTCTAAAGATGGATACTGGTGGAGATTCCTATTGCCACACAGCACTCTGTTCTCGTTCGTTGAAGTTTCCAGTAATAGATGAACAGTGTCGTTCTTCCTGAACAGTTATCGTGAAAATTTTCAGAAATTCTAATTATAAATGAAAAATTTTGTTCGTATGAAACATATTATTTAAAAAATCCATAAAATATTATTTTTTCTAATATTTTGTTGATCAACAAATAATTTATTTCCATACATTCATATCTTAAAATAAACTTATTTATTGTTTTGTATCTTCCTTTGAAGACGAAGGGGAGAATACTTCCACGTTGGTTTCCTTTCAAATTCAATTTCGTTTTGATTCACATGTCGAAGCACGAGAAGCTATCGTCAAAGGAACATGTGACATCAACAATGCCCGATAATTAATTCACTGTTACGTTTTAATATCCGTGTCCAGAGTCGTAATTTAATGTTACATTTCGACAGACAATAACAAAAGCTCGAAGGGCAAATGGGATGAGCTTTGGATAAGAGCATTCAATACCTGATTGCGAATCCTTTGTCCTATAGGAATTATCAAATATTCCTTGAAAATGGCCTATTATGTACAACTCCTATTGTCAATTGATTAAATTTATAACCCAGGAACAGGAAATCGTTATTGACGAAATTTACGTCGAAAGCTTCAGAATATCTGAACGTACAATAAAAAAAAAAAAAAAATTGCCAAAATTATTATTTGAGAGAGATACTCGATAATTCCCTGTTTTTTCCCACTGATTGAATTTTGGGTCATTGTGATCGAGAAAGTGAATGAAAATCTTTGTTAGAAAAAATTTTTCTAAGAATCCAAATCACTTTGCAAGAGTGCTTAATAGCGAGAGCATTAATGAAGAATAGTCTTTGTTGTTCTACCTCCAATCACAACAAGATCCAGACGTTTTATAACCGGGATCTTGAGTGAAATCATGCTGAGAAACCGACGTTTAACGATGTTAATGGTACAATGTGTAATTATACCGAGATTTATGTGCATACTTTGAAAGTCACGTTTCAGGGGAAGCGGTCCGCGTTAACGAGTGAACACTGAAGAAAGAGATACAGAGATTAGGATTAAGAATCGGGCATCTAATTGCTGTCGAATTAAATAGCTAACAAGTGTATTGTGTTTGTAAGCGTGTTGCAGGAATCGGTAGTAACAAGTGACAAGTTCTTGGATGAGAGTACAGTAGAAAATAAAAATAAGTTCCCCACAGCTAATTACAAAAATATCAGCCTAGTTAAAAATTAAAACGTTATTGCAATATAATTATCAAATTAAACAAGATTATATATACAAAAGATTTCATTGAAAAGCAATTTTATTGAATCTCGGTTTGGCGGACCATGGAGAGAGCCCCAATTTTAATTCAATACTGTACTTCATATTATTTTCATTTATTCCTATAAAAGTTATTCAAACTCCATCTTTTTGAACCAATGACCGTCAACATTTATAATGATTCACCTCTATTTGACCTGTGCAGGTTAATGTAATCGTAGAGAAAAATCTGAGACTTACTTAAAGATTCAAAATGCGTAGTGGTGAAACGCACGGCTCGTAAGTTTTACTTTCAAACGACAGAGCTCGCCTTTACTTTCTTCCCGAGGGGTTGTCGAGTCACGTATCTCAGCGCGAAATTCCGCAACGAGGCAAGCGGAGAAGGAAACGGGCAGACGTAGGAGGACGACGTGGACCGAACAGCCCGTGTAATTCGCTTCTGTACGATCGAATTCACTTTCGCCTCGATACGGACGACACAGTGGCAAATCTCTCGCGAAATCTCGTTAGAGCGAAAAGAAACGAAGGGAACTTAATCTGGTTGAATCTCAGCGATCGAGGTATTTTCATTAATATCCTGTTTCCTGGTTAAGAATAAGATATGTGTATATAATAATAACAAGAATCCATAAGGAAGTACTTAAAAGGCAAATAATTGTGTCGAATGAATGTTAATAGACAAAGGATTCGAAATCCAGCTCAGACTTTCTTGACGTCACGTTTCAAACGTGTTCCCTTTGATGATGGCTATTTCAGATGAAATTGAAAAGAAACAATTCAATCAGGAAGTGTATTTATTTACATTCAATGAAATGTTTAAAATATACAATCTTGTGACTCCCCTTAGAGAAATGTTAAAATATACACACATAAATACAATATTATTTCTGTCGATTAATTTCATTCTATTTGTCCGTTAAGGATCGAATGAACCATCATTGAGATTTATATTATATTTTCAAAACAATTAAGAATTATGCACTTTGTTATTTTCCTAATATATTTATCAAATTCAGGTTATGGTAAATTGGAGTTAAGAGAGGTTAGGTTAGGTGATTATCAATTTTCGGAAGGTAGACATATTACAAAATGGTGGCGTTATACGAAATTTAACATAACCTCCACATCTTTATAAAATTGGAAAATTCAGTGAAATAAAACGTGTGCTGTCGTTTAAAACACTTTCACACCTGCAATTACGATAACTGCAATTCAGGTTATGGTAAATTGAAGTTAAGAGAGGTTATGTTCGGTGATTATCAATTTTCGGAAGGTAGTCATATTACAAAATCTAACATAACCTCCACATCTTTATAAAATTGGAAAATTCAGTGAAATAAAGCGCGCGCTGTCGTTTAAAACACTTTCAAACCTGCAATTACGATAACTGCAATTTGCACACTAAAGTGACGACTGCATTTGACTTGTAAATCATAGAATTTAAATTACAGAACCGAGTCGACTTTCTACCAAATCGTAGGATACGAAGCCTTTTGCAATATTCCTTTGCTGTATTAGCCGTTAAGTCGAAAACGAGGTGCTGTTGCTTCGAAAATGCTCTTTCGATGAATTATGAAGAACAATATCTGGGATAATTATTATGAACCCAAAGAGGACCTAAATGGTATCTTAAAAAAGACAGCTAACCGGTTATTTATGTAGCTACAATCTGTTTTGAAGAATTGAATAACACGTTCTGAAGAATGGTGATAGAAGAAGGCAACAAAAGGAGTGGCAAGTGTCAGCTGACCAGAGGGGAGTGGAAGGAGATGAAAATAAAAGATATCCATGGCGATGCTAAAAGCATAGAATTCTCTTTCAACGTACCTGCCAGATACAGCCAAGCATGGCGTGGCTAAAGTTTCCTTAGCTAAAATAAATTATTGTTCCAGTTTATTCGTAGCACGCCAGGGTGCCTGCGAAACTGTACGTTGTCTATGTTTTCATGCCACCTCCGTGCATTCGCCACCCCCGTTATCCATCACGGCGTACCTAATACAATATTCTAGGCAATTACAGTGTTTGCGGATCAAACAGAGGGACTCGTTTCATCTCCACCATAACTTTGACCCCTCCATCTAGTCCGTGAGCCACGGGATCCCTTGTCGTGCAAGGAGGGTGGGTGAGAATCACGCGGGTGGCAGACGTCGAGACGAGGGGTTAGCCATCGTTCGATGCAACGGCATCATTTTCTCTTTCTCTCTTTAATGATATCGGACGTCAGGCATGTTCTCTTCCTTCTTTTACAGTATTGCTTAACTTTCGAGCAACGCTCTGAACCGAACCGCGTGGCGTCATAAGACGTCATAGCCAATAGAATGGGATATTGACCAGTTTAACGACCCGCATTACCACGTTCGAATCTAGGTAAGAGGTTCTACGACTAGACGTCATTTTCGACGCTATAAACGTGAAAATAATTGCAAAATGAAGGTCCTCTTCCCTTCTCAGACAGAATTCCAGGTAATACGGTTCTTATGTTTGTTTTAAACAGCCTATACCTATATACGATTACGTAAAGCCATTAGTCGGCCTCGGATGATTACCATCGTCGCGATGCAATGTGGGTATTATCGAATTAGCGAAACGGGATACGTCGTAATGACCGTTTTCGTAACTGGTCGGCGCACGATTTAATTTCGAGCTCGATCGATCATCAGGAGCATCCGTGATACCATTTTTTTTTTTTCCTCTCTCGTTGTCTTCTTTACTCCAGACAGAAGGCCTGATCGTGATCAAAAGTGTGCAAGGC